TTTTTTGGTGGAACAGGGGATTGAACTCAGGCCCTCGCGCTTGCCAGGGAAGCGCTTATTCCACTGAGCCATCTCCCTGGCTTTTTTTTTTTTTTTTAATTACTTCTGCACGTATTATTATTCATACCAATCAAAAAATTAAAAGCAACATTTTTTTAAGTTATCTATGCCTGTGGCATTTTATCATGGATTAATAGCTTACCAATAATGATTCTTTAAATTTTCACATGCGGGGAACAACTCACTCGGGAACCCCTTCCATCCCTCTCTTGGACAGGAGTTTTCTTTCCCTCAATAAATATATTCTGCTCATAACCTCTGCTTGTTCCTACAATTCATTCTTCACTTTTAAATCTTCACATGGAAACCTTATTAAGTACCCCATTGTTGGTGCATATAATACCTACACATAACTGCTCTAATCTAGATTAGCTGTGTTACCAGTGGTTAGACTATTTCCTAAAGACCACTTTAACATTTTCCTTAAGGAAATGTCACATGATGGCCCATCATCTGTTTCATCAATGCCTTTCTTTGCATTACTGTCAAATCCCCCAAGCAGGGGTACCCGCTGCCCAAGAGGACAGCCATGCATGCACCTACTGTGGTTCAAGCCTGTGGGAACAAGTGAATTCAAAGGGGAGCCATGTGGCATGATGTGGCCACAGATTATGGCCCAGCAGTAAGACCCGAATTAGTGTCTTCTCAACATACTAATTCATAATTCTAGCTCATTTTAATACCACAGCACCACATATAGGAGCAGAAAGCCCTAGAAAGTGCACTTTAAATAATGGCTACCAAAGGAGAAAGGGAGGAAAATCTAATCTATTTCATAAGTCTGCTAAAAACGAACTCAAAAGCAGAGACTTGAAAGTGACCAAACTGGCCACTAGGGGCCACACAAGCATCAGCTTCCTAAAGTAGTAGTAATAGTTAAAATCTGCCTAGAAAAGCTGATTGTTACCAACTCTGTAGAGTCTCCAAAATTTATCCAAATAAGGTCAGTTCGAGGGCTACTGAACACCCAGGAGTTTTTTTCCTACAATCCCAATGGAGAAAAGGGACTGGCACAGATGAATCACAGGAGCTTAACTTACGAGTACTACTCTGGAGCAACCAGTGACACAGGAAAGGAGGAGCTACATCCAGCCCATGCGGCCGGACACTTACCCTGCTGGTGTGAAGGTGGCGGGGAGCCAGTGTCACTCAGTGCTGCTCGGCTCGGCGGCAGGAGCGGGGTTCCCAGCTGGTGCTTCACCTGCCTTGGTCTGCAAAGCACAAAACCGAATCGTAAACCAGGAAAGAGCCCACCCTGCCACATGGAGACTTCAAGGCTAAAAGCTCTCACAGGTGAACTGGGCTGTCTACGAAGGAAAATCACGTGAATCACTGGTGACTCCTGTGTCTGAGTCCAAAACTTAGTCCACAGCAGAGAGGCCACTAAGTATCACACTCTCCAGTCTACGAGAGTGTCGGTGCTTTCAGCTCACAGGGACCGGGAGCTTCACCCCTAAGTCTCGGTAACGGCCCCAAATGCTCTAGGGGAACTCTAAGGGATCCTTTCAGAGAATGTTAATGAGCTGAATTCAAATATTTGGCCTGAGCTCATGCTTTATATACATGAGCCTTAAGCAAGCTGCTGCTATTTCAAGGTAGGCTTAATGGCACACACATACAATCCCAGCCCTCGAGAGGCTGAGGTAAGAGCATATTTGAGCTCAGCCAAGGGAACTTGGAGAGACCCCATCTCAAACTTTACAAACAAGGGACCAAGGGATACATATAGCTGAGTGCAAAGACCTTGAGTTTAATCCTTGGCAACACATACTCAAAAACCTCTTAGAAATGCTAAAGGTTGACATAATTAAAGTTGAACTGTCAACATCTCTTCTGATTGCTGAGCTTCACCTCTTTAACATCTTGCGAAGGAGCGTTGGGAGGACGGGGGCGACGCCGATAGTTGTAGGGACGCCGGTAGCCGCGGCGAGCACCTGGTGGGTTGGGACCGTTGGCTGCTTGTTGGTTCTCTTTGTCCTCAGCCTCGCCAATAGGTGCTACAGGCCGTGGGCGAGGAGGCCCTCTACAGCAAGAACACGAAGGAGGGAAACAGAACAAGGACACTGAGACAAGTACATGACACAGGGACACGCGAGGAGAGGGCTTTTAGCTAAAGCCAGCCTGTGGTGGCACATGCCCCCAGGAGGCTCAGGCAGGACAAGAACATGCAATGCTACATAACAGACCCTGTCTTCAAAAAAAGGGATCAGCACTTACTGCTACCATTACTTACAGGTACTCGGCAAATGGAACAAAGGTTTTAGTGGAAATATTCATTTGCTCCATTGTTTTCTTGCTTAATGAAAATACCCAGTTGCAGTAAACAAAGATCCCAAAGGGGGGGCTGTTTGATATGACCATGTCAGAGCATGTTCTCACATCAAATATTCACTAGCAAAGCTAATTCTCTGAGCTCCTTTACAGTGAGAAAACCAACAAGTGCAGCGAGGCTAAGTATTCAGTGGAGTCATACAGAAGGGCTGTTTTTGTATGGCTTGAGAAAAAAAAAGTCAAAGACAGCTCTCCCCGCCGCATCGTAGGGCTGGAGCTGGCCAGCATGAAGATTCACTTGTGCTGCTGTCCACCAACTGTTGCATTAAGACTTTGTCATAACTTTTAAAAATATTATTTAATTATTCTGTCAAAAGCTGGTATAAGTCCTTGGAAGGAGGAGGATGTAGTCTGGTATTCATCCTTTCCCAGGACAATATGCTGACTAGTGAACGTGACAAATCTCAAAGTACAGGCTGAGCATTACTAAGCCAGTATCCAAAATCTAGAACTTTCTGAGTCCCCAAATCAGTTTCATCCCTTGAGCCTTTCAGATTTTGGAATTTTGTATTAATGATGCTCCTTAGTAAATCTCTGGGGCACTGACATCTTAAGTGTCTGGCAACATGTACTTTGGATAACTAATATTCAATCTCTAGCAGGCAAAATATGAGACTAGCTAGGCTTCTACCAATAAGCTGTGAAAGGGTCTGAGAAGTCCGCTTCAGTCTACAGGCAATAAAGCACAAGTAAAATAAACCACTCCATTTATGCTAACCAAAGTTGGTAATAATACCTAACACATACTAAGCCCATATGCATTACCTCAGAGGCATCAGTATATTTGATCTTACTGGCCAGTGTAGGGCTCTTTTTGGACAGGGTCTTTGTACATAGTAACGCTGGCCATGAAGTCACTACGTATTCAAGGTTGGCCCTGAACTGTGGCATCTTCCTGCCTCAGCTTCCTAAGTGCTGGGATTACAGGCGTGCGCCACCACAACCAGCAGTATACAGTATTTCTTAATGTACAATCTACAGACCTGGAGACAGAGTTCAGAATCTACCCAAGGCCATGCAGCTACTAAACTGTGGGGTGGAATGTAAACACAGAATACACACCCCCCTAGTATGACATCATTCCTAGCCTACCTCGGTTAAAATAGTGAGGAAGCAAAAGACTGACACACACATCTTCATCTGAATTATCACATCACTGAACTTCTGCTTATTTCACTTAATTTAATAAAAATCAAGGTGTGTGAGGCTTCAAACCTGCCTATAACCCCAGCACTCTAGGCGGCTGAGGCAGGGCATCACACTCAGTGGCAACTTCACGACTTAATACCATGTTAGGTACAAGGGCTGCAGATATATGAAGATATAGCTAGGCGCAAAGGCCCTGGGGTCAGGCCGGCGATACCTCAGTGGACTAAAGCGCCTGCTTGGGCAAGCTGAGGCAAGCTCAGGGACAGAGGTTTGATCTCTGGCACCACATGCCACGTCAGTGCCCCCCACCCCAGCTGGCCATAAAAAAGGCCCTGGCTTCAATCTCCAGTACCATAAAATAATAAGATATAACATTATAAATAAGATTTTAAAAAATAAAAATAATATAATGCATAACATCAGAGAAGGATTCGAATAATAGCCAGATGGAGGAAGTATGTTGTGCCGCTGTCTGAAAACATACCGAAACTGAAGAGTATCAGAAACAACACCTGGCAGGGTGGTGCATGCCTGTAATCCCAGCACTTGGGAGGCTGAGACAGGAGGATCACCACAAATTCAGAGTTCAAAACCAGCCTGCGACCTATCTGAGACCTTGTCTCCAAACACCTACTTGTGCACATGGCTGAAGCCACATCTTTTACTTAACACTAAAAGTACCTTAAGTGGCCATTGCTTGTGCAGAGCGGCACATACCTGCGGTACCTGGGGCGGTAAGTTGGGTTCCGATGGACCGGACCCTGAAGCTGAGCTCCCTCAGGGACTCCATCCTTCATCTCTCCAATCTCACCAGCCTAGAGAGGAAGAGGAGAGCCAGAAATGAGCTCTGTGGGACAGGACATACAAGGCAAAGGGCACACAGGAAAAAAAAGTTTTAAATCAAGACTACAAAGTGCTTCCTTACAAAGTTGGGCACCTCAGCTACAAGGATGGGCTACTTACCTTACTAACTCTCTGTGACTGACAGAAAGGAAAGAAAAGGTCGGCCATACCGGAATAGTCTCTCACTTTGTCCCGGAACATCCAGCCTTACCAACTTGACTTTTGTTTCTTGAGGCAGGATCTCACTAAGCACTCCAGTCTGGCCTTGAACTCACTATTGTATTGGCCTCAAACTCATGGTGACCCTCCTGCCTCAGCCTTCCAGGTGCTGGGATTACAGGTGTGCCACCACACCCAGCAACATTTTAAAATCTGACATGTTCAATTCACAAGAAAATATAATACAGTTACTACGCTTCAGGATATAAGATTTTCGTAATTGTTTCAAACTTAGTCCCTTAACTCTACAAACTAATTTCTTCTCAGTCCCATTAAAGATTTCTACTAAAGTCAACCTTAAGCCCAAACCTTAACCACGGGCTCAGGTGGAGCTCAAGTGACACGAATAACTGCTTAGCATGTGCAAGGCCCTGAATTAAAAATCCTGCAAAGAAAAAGAAAAAAAAAAGTTCTTCGCCTCTGCTTTCTTTTTATTTTTTTTTTTTTAAATCTATGTTAAGTACAGCATTTAAGAAAAAAACCTGAATGATTATCATCTCATTTTAACCTAGAGGAATTAAAATTAACTTACTGGGTAACCTCCAGGAAGAAAAACTAGAAACATACAACAAAACCTCCCTCCAATAACCTGGATCAATAAGCACATCTCAATTATCTTTTTCAAAACTAGCACCCCTTGGGGTTCTAGAGCCTAAGGCCAGCCTCCAAATTTCACTAGGGAAAAAGGACCAGGCAGAAGGGAATCTCTGCCCTGGGCCACATCTGTGCCTTCCTGCATCTGCTTCATCTCCCACCACCCTGGACCAGCAGTCCCTACCACGCTCCCAAAGGTCTCCCGTCTCAGGCACTCCCCCACCATTATGCAGCATCGTCTTTCTCTACTTCACTTCCATGAAGGCATACAAACAAGCCGATACAGCACCTATCTTTTTCCAAATTTTAAATTTCAAAATACACTCAAACTTAAGACACGTTTAAGGACAGGGATCCAGTCCTCAGGCCCCACCTATATAATAATCCGAACAGCCAAAAAAGGCCCATTTGGGGCTGGTGAGATGGCTCAGTGGTCTAAAGCACCTACTTGGAACAAGCACAGGGACCGCGGTTCGATCCCCCAGCACCACATGCCAGCCAGCACCGCCCCCAGGAGGGCTGAGCTGGCCACACACACACATAATAATAATAAATTAAAAAAAAAAAAAAAAAAAAGGCCCATTTGGAATCATGCATAGCATTGAATCGGATTTTTTGTCTGGGAAGATTGCAACAATCTTTCCTCACCATGAATGACCTTGACACAGAGACTAGCCAGTCCTTCCATAAATATCTCACAATGTGGGGTGTTTCCTGCTTCCTGATTAAGGTTCAACTCATGCACCTCTGACAGGGGACATCACAGAAGTTACTCTGCGCTCTGTTGGGTGGCACATGGCTTTGGTCCCTACAACGCTCCCCCACTTAGACTACTCTCCCTCTCTGTAGTTAGTGAGGGTTCTCTAAGTACCTTCAAGGTCTGTGAATATCTCATTATTCAAATTTTCCCCCATGACCACTTATTTGCATGACCACTTATTTGTATCCGAATGGACTGGGGGATTTCTTCAATGAGTGAATTTGTTACTACCATTTCTGTCCAATGGGAAGGAACCCTCAGGCTGGCTCCTACCCTTCTGCCATGTCCAACATTCTAAGTAACTTCCTTGCATCAGGCCACCCTGGCTCACACTGTATTTTCTCTGCCCCAGTCCTGAAATGGGCTACTGTTCCAAAGCCATTATGGAGAATACCACAGGGTCAGATATGTACAGTGCTACTAACAAACTGCTTTGGAGCCGCTCAGAGGACACAAGCCCGGTATGGTACATGCTATAGTCCCAGCACTCCAGCGACTGAGCAGGCAGGAGGATTGCTGTGGGTAGATAATGGAATCTGTGCTACTTAAGTCCAAGGCCAGCCTTCACTGCATAGTGAGACCCTGACAGGCATCTGCACGCACCTGCAGGGACAGGTGGATACATGTGCATCTGTACCTGCCTGTATGGGCATGAATGTAAGCGCATCTGCCTGCCCACCTCGCTCTACCACACTTATATCTTCACAAGTAACTGCTGGGGAAGTTAAGGGTGAGGAAGTATAGGGGAAACACACCATTATAAAAAGCAAATCAGCGCAAGGGCCTGAGTTCAATCCCCAGTTCCGCCAAAAAAAGAAAGCAAAGCAAACCAAACAATCGCAGGCTGATCTCACATCTGCCTCCAGGGATGACCCCATTTCTCTCTGCTCCTTAACTAAAGAAAAAAACATAGTGGGGCGAGGGAGATAGCTCAGTAGAATAAGCACTTGCCTGGCAAGTGCAAGGGCCTGAGATCAATCCCCATTTCCGGAAAAAAAAA